AAGTATGTATAACTAAGTATCAATATTTTTATTTGTAATTGTAATTGTAATTTATTAAAACGTAGATACTGGCGATTACCTACCTTAGTTTTAAGACAGATGAGTTTTGGGAAACTTACGTAGATATATTTTCCACTTATTGTTGCTTCTCTTGTTCTTTTTAAATGAACAAACTCATCACAGGTTTGATTCAGGTGGAAAGACGAAAAATTTCTATTTATTATACTTTTATTTACCAAATTCCTTGTGGTGTGTATAGTATGTGGCGATCGGCTTCGATGGGCGCGCGGCTGTGCGCCGGGCTGGCGCTGGCGATGTCGCTGGCACTCGGCGCCGGTCGCCGCGATTACAAGGACCCGGAGGCACGCCACCACTCCGACCTCTCGCTCTGGATCGATGAGCGGCAAGTTCGGATGTTCAGCGGTAAGTTGCTGCCACCTACCTTTTTATGTGATCGCCACGCCGACAGATTACCTCATACTAAGCAATCAGCGCCGCCCATAGAACAAAACCAACACTAGAGAAATTGCAAGTGTGTTCCCGGCATTATGGGAATATGGGGTTCTCGGGCTTTTTGAATAACCAAAACCCAAATGATTGGGGAGGAATGAGGAGCGACAAAAGTTTTTTCACGTCGATTTTATGTGAGACCGTGGTATCACTCCGGTCACATTAGGTATAGATACACCATTATATTGTTGTTATTGTTTTAAAAAGTCCAGAATGCATTGCATTGAAATCTGTTGCTACCGTGCTAGGATTTACTTGTGCTGCGTGTATCAATGTACTAGAATACTAGAGCCGTCGAAACTTAGTTCAATCATGTAGGTATTCCAAATGTGTTCTGCTGTCCTGTCCTCATTATTTAGGTTGCGGTCGACAAAATAAAAACGATCATACCGTCCTGCCATTTTTCCTGTTCCATTTTCTTTTGATTCTTTTACTTATATAACCTTCTATGTACTTATGTAAGTAGGTACCTAATAAACAAGCGTTTGACGGTAATAAGGTAAAAAGTTAATAAATATGAAGAAAATAAATGAACATGACCTCATTTATTACTCACGTGAATGAGCAACAGAAAAAGTACCTACTTAATTTATAGTTATTTATCCGCCATTTGACACGAGAATGTGAATTAAATAATTACCGAGTCTTGGGCTAAGGGTCAGTAGTTCGCACTTTGTTGATAATTTATACCTTCAACACTTGACGTAAATAACCTAATATTAATTTATCAAAACCCAAGCGAACACCGGTGTTCGCACACACCTATTGTTCTCCTATTGTGTCTCGAATTACCACAATTTAAACTTAATTATAATTCCAACAATTATTATAATGCCCGAGTGTCGTCATTGTGAGGACCACCTAGAGGATACGGTGGAGCATACGGTAGCGGTATGCCCTGCCTGGGCTGAGCACCGCCGTATCCTCAGGGAAGTGATCGGCGGCGGCGACCTCTCGCGCCCGGCCTTAGTCGAGGCCATGGTGCGGAGTGAGAGGAACTGGGACGCCGTCTCCTCCTTTTGTGAAGCAGTCATGCTCGCAAAGAGAGAGGCGGCCCGCGTGAGGGAGCAATCCTCCTCCTCACGCCCCAGCAGCCGCAACTGGCGACACTACGGGCGTCGGGGATCGAGGGACGATCTCCGGCCACCGTAAGTACGGGCCTGCGGTCGGCGAGTAAGGGCAGCTCGCCGCCCGACCAGAACCAGGCCCGAGCGTACGGCGCGTAGCGTTTCGCGCGCGCCTCAAAGAGCCAATAGACCACCACAGACGGGGCCCTAAAGGGCTGATGTTCAGCCGGGGTTGCGGGGTAAGCGCAATGAGGTACCGCGACCTCGGCACAGAGCAGGAGAAGGAACAGGGGGGTTTTTAGTCAGTAAGAGTCTGACACTCCCTCCTGCCCGGCCCTGGGCGGGAGAAGTCATTTGATGATTTACCCATCACAAAAAAAAAAAAAAACAATTATTATAATGTAAATGACGGGAAGTGTTTGGTGACGGTTGAACAGTTATTTGTATGACTCCAAAACGGCTGAACGAAACTGGGTAAAATTTTGGTACCTAATTGATAACTTGTAGTTATATAGACTCACTTACGCTACGTTTTCCTTATTATATTTCTGAATGTATATTGCATTAATACCTACTTGAGCAACTTTTTTCTTTCCAGGCATATCGATGCAAGTATTCGCAATAATGAATGGGCACGTGGTTCCATACGTGTTGGACCCGAACTTCTCAAACAAACTACCAGTGATACCTTCTGAAGTGGGCTACGTCAACTTCACGTGGAAATCCAAGAAGCGCTATTATTACGACTTCGACATTTTGACGTCATCAGACCTCACTATACTAAAACCGCCTGTCCTGTCTATAAAGACCCGCGGACGGGTGCCCAAAACTTCTAAAGGTAATTTCCATTCGGTTGGCAAAATTTCCAATTTTAACTGATCTACATTCCCCAACATACCTAAATGCGGAACAAATATTTTTTTATTAATTTAAAGGGCAATAATTGCCGCCATTTTTTTTTCATCTGTTACTAAAATACGTCAGGAAACTAATCTTTTTATCCAGTGCAAACACGGCGTTACCTACTTAAACAAGTAAATATTTTTAATAACCACGTTTTTTGCAGAATTCAGTATAATTTTGCCATGTGTGGGCAATAATAGCGGAGTGGCCACATTTGAAATAGGTCTTGTGCTAAAAAATGGCCGCGGTTTGCCGCTAAAAGGCACCCCACTTAGATTACACCTAAAGAAGGAATGCGCACAGAGAGGTGTGTATTTAGAAAGGACAGGTATTGTATCGCCAACGCATTTTTAACACTTACACGCCTGTGTTTTTGTCGCTGTCTCTAATACCGCACGTGTTTCATACTAATTCATTAACTAAAGCCAAATTATTACCACAATTAAAGAACTATAAACAAGGAGCAACTGCAAAAACACAGACGTAACGCTTACTACCTCGATTTAAAATAACAGTTATCTTTTATTATTCTTCTACAAAGACGCCAAAAGGTCTATTGTATCCCGAAAGCTTATTAATTCAATTTCTCATGCTTAGCGTTTGAAAAACGAAGTATAGCGAAGTTAAGTACGAGTAACGAAGCACTAAACATTGCATTTCATCTATTTCGAGCTCATATTGTTATGCTTACGCTACTAATAATACTTTATGGGTAGTCGGTAAGCGAGCGCTATACAATCATTGCGGTTCACAGTACAACGCGTCACGTCAGCGTTTGTGTCCATTTCACTAGGAACAATGCAGCGATTGATATTTTATTGCCGTTTCGTAGTCGATTTGTGCAAAAAACAATCGATAATTTAAACGAATCGTTTATTTTTTTATAATAATAATTCTTTTGGTTTATGGTTGTATTGAAATGTTCGCATTGTAGTCGCTGTAGTGTCCGTCTCTCGTGGCTACTAATGTAGGCTGTATTTGTGACGCCTGCGATGTGCGCCAGGCCTTATTAACCGAATCAATTATTTTCCGGGATGTCGCCGAGTGCGCTGGCTGGCTGAATACGGTGCCTCTGCTCACGGCATTTGCGTTTTTAGGTTCGTATCATGCTTGCTTTCTAACTAATATTACTTACCTACATTTTAAATAATATTTTAGTAATTAGTGCCAAATCATTTCTACCATTTTATTATATTATTATGCTTTTGTTTTACGCTTTCATTAACTTAACTTACACATTACCTTTTAAGCATGGACCAAAAGTTTAACTTAACAGTCCATGGTAAGTTCTTTGAATACAAACGGCTTTTTTTACTAAAACCACTTCCATAAGAAAGCTAGAAATAAAAATAAAATTAAGAAACGAAATGTGTATTGTGTAGACTTCTAAGTTAACAATAAAACGTATTAGACTTTTTATAAAAAAATCATAGGTACAACGCTTAAGAGTATCGATAAATATAATCAACCATTCAACAGGACCGGATCCCGAGTGCGACAAAAAGTGTGCGAACCAAGGCTGGTGCAATAACGAGAAAATATGTCAGTGCCCAGAGGGCTACATGGGGCAGGACTGTCGGACGGCCCTGTGCTACCCGCAGTGTATGAACGGAGGCAACTGTACCGCACCAGGAGTCTGCTCGTGTCCACCTGGATACCAGGGCAGGAATTGTGAAGGAGGTTGGTATATATTTCAGGTCATAAATCGGTTGCCTTGCCCTTGAGCAGGAATAGGAAAGGGGAGGTATTTAGTCAGTAAGAGTCTGAAACTGGCCATATGCTGGGCGAGAGAACTCATCACACATGAAAAAAGGGCATAGATCAATGTGTCAAAGTATCTTACAATTGAGATTCTGTGTTGAGTTGATAGAAAATCTGTAAAAGCCTTTCTATTAAATGTATTCCAGTGCTTCAACGTAATTTCTTGCACATGGCTAATTTTAGTTCCGGAAAGGACCGCGAGAGACGCTGGTTGACCGCGAAAGGTACTTCTAAAGAAGAAAACTACTTTGTTATGTTACTACTTACAGACAGATAGAGGTTAGAATTCGGTGCCACGTTCTACACACTTTCTAATACTAAGTTAAGTTATAGTAGAAGTGATAAAACTAATAATTTTATGTAATACGTAATTTATTTATGTAACAAAAATACACTATGGTAGACAAGAACATTTTTGGGACAGAGAAAAACACAGTTTAAGGAAATAATACTTTTCGTTACAGTAATTAATATCAGTTCATAGCGACATAAATGCTTTATTGTCAAACAAACTTATATTTACCTATTTTAAAATCTATTTTTTTTATGTAGTTGCCAGTTCTAATAATGCCATTTTGGACTATGAATGTTACGGCCTTTAGGCAATGGCATTACGCAACCTTAAAATAAAAGTGGAGACTATTTTGCCATTATAAGAATAAAAGACTAACTAATCTTTTGAATTCGTGAAAGATATTCAGCAATTAATAAAGAAATAGTAGCTTTTTATAATAATTCTGAAATTTACAACAAACGTTTTTATTTAGGAAATTCTATAGCTTTGAGCCGTTTTCTTATGTCTTATTTTAGTAATTAGTTGGTATTGACTAATTTAATTCCAGCTATCAGGAACTACATGATGGCTCCTGCCCGCAAAGTCGTGAGAAGGAAACAGTCTACATCTCGCCTTATACATTTTGTAAACTTTTTATATTCGACGTGGATGTGACTCAATATAGTTATGTTCGAAATGTTTTCTGACTGATAAAGAAAATCTTTAAAACAATTAAATATTTTATATCGTCTGAATAACAATTTTTTAGGCTTAAAAATTGCAACACACCTTATTAAGTTCAATAATTACTCACGTGCGCATTTTCAGCCAGTATTACTCTACGACTTGACGTAAACAAGAGCCATTCCACCGCCATCTTTGAAATGTATCATAACCTCTTTTGACTAAACCTTCTTGGAAATAGCAATGGCGCATTTACATCCAGCCTTTATAACTTCAGTCATGGCTCTGTAGAAGGGTGCTTGTTCAGCTCCATGGTCGATACCTGTGTCATGGTGTTCCTGTTCCTCATCACGGAACTTAGTGATGGTCTCTAAGATCTCCTTGTCGATGTTAGGGTCCTCCATTAAAGTCCTAAGCTGATCGTTGTAATGGTCTACGATCACAGTTTCCACTGCTACTGTGCAAGCCATAGCGGCTTCTTTGCCTAGGAGCGCCGAACCTGTAATTGATGAATATTAAGTTAAGTAACAATAAATCGGATTGGATCAAACCTTATTCAAAAATATTTTGGCGCTACGTTTCACATCAAGGTTTTATCTAGTGTTGTAGCGCAATAACAAATCATACCCAAACGCCGAATAACATTTTGGGCATAGAACAAAAACGCTGGACAATAGTTGTATACTTGATTCGAATGGGACTGTTTACTGCGGCAGACGTTGAGTCTGTGCAAGAAAAGAAATCTAAAACAAAAAACTCACCAGCGCCTAAAACAAAGCCAGCTACATTCCAAATTGGCGTGAGAGCCGTTGGTCGGACTCTGTATTCATTGATCAGCTCTTCAAACTTGGCACGATGTTTCTTCTCTTGGTCCCACATGTGCTGAATGAGCGGACCTTCTGCGGTACGGCCGAGAACTGCCATCTGACCCGCGTAGATACGGTCCGCGCCCAGCTCCCCTGCATGGTCGACTCGAATTATTTGATCTAACTGAAATGTTATATTAAATCGTTTATAGTGTCTTTTTAATTAAAAACTTGACTAAATAAATCATCCTAATTAGGAATGTTTATGCCGCTTACTATAACACACTATTAACAACGAGGATAGCCGACTATTAAGACGTTCGCCGTGAAGGCAATTCAGAGCTAGAACTCTAGTTGAGTTCGAAATTAGTCGGAGATACTCTTAATATTACGAGAATAGGTTGCATTCTGCGCGTGCCTCAAAGAGCCAATATACCATCTCAGACCTATAGGGCTGATATTCAGCCGGGGTTGCGAGGCAAGCGCATTAAGACACCGCTGCCTCGGCCTAAACTAGGAAAGGAAACGGAGAGGGGGTTTTAGTCAGTAAGAGTAGGATACTCCCTCTCGCCTCACTCTTTAATCTCTAATTTTTTTCTGGGTAATTTGGTTAACTACTTACATGAGGATTCTTCTTCCAATACGGTCGTCCGCTGGCTGACACAGAACTGTGCGCACAGCGGATCTGTTGCAGTATCGGCTTCCGCAGCATCTTGTAATATTTCTGCAATTGAGAAATATAAATAATTTAAATATGACTTCTTTTACAGGTATATGCGCGCAAAAATGTTTAAATGGCGGCAAATGTATACAGAAGGATACCTGTGAATGTCCTAAGGGGTACTATGGATTACGCTGTGAATTCTGTGAGTATTTCAACTAAAATCTAAACTCCTCGAATTTGTGCATCGTTACTTTAAGAAAGTCTGGCGGCTACTCAAAAATTATATACAGAAAATAGAGGAAACAAAACCTTAACTTTGTAACAACTAGAACTGTATCCTACTAAGTAATGAATAAGGCATATTTTTTCAGCAAAATGCGTGATCCCATGCCTGAACGGTGGTCGTTGTAAAGGAGTAAACAAATGTCGCTGTCCTGTGGGACTTGGCGGTAACCACTGCGAGGTAGGCCGCCGGGTGGGGGACTGCTCGTGCAGGGGAGAGTCCTGTGCGGGCCAGCACACGTGCAGGCACGGCCGGTGCGTGGCCGGCGCCTGTGTCTGCGAGCCTGGCTGGAGGGGGCGCTGGTGTCATAGGTCCACAGGTTGGCTTTGTATATGGTTCATCAGTTCATTAATGCTCTAGTGGGCATTCATGACCGATTTACCAGTTCAATAAATGTGTAATTTATTCAACCTATCCCCAAAGCATAACACTCAATTGTATAAATGCATGCCTGTTGATTATTGACTGACAGAATTGAAACAATAAAGTTAAGTAGTTTTACTAAAAATGACAGTGAGCAATCATTCCCATGACATCTATAGATGCCTAGTTTACCCAACATTTTATATTGTAAGGTCATTTGTGTATGTACTGTAACTAAATGTTTAATAAATATAAATGTATATAATATCCAAAACCTACTAACTACATATTTCTTTTCAGGCTCATCAGAAGAGTCCGGTGAATACAAGAGGCCACGATGAAACACAAACAGTTGACGAAACTACTTAATAATGTGATTTTTATTAATTTTATTGAAAATTCTTTATACATATTTTGTAACATTGATAAATTAGTCATTTAGATTATAAGTTCTACGCCACTTAGACTTTGAAATTAGATTATTTTATGAAATAATATAAAATATTAGACATACATTTTGAAAATTGTTTTATTTCTTTAGGTGCACATACAAAACTATGTGGTGTGTTTTATCTACATGTTGATATAGGATAAATTGAAGAAAAAATATAATGAAACCTCTTTCAACCCACACCCTTTTTCTGCACAAAAATTATTTCTTTATTTTAATTTTTATGGAAGTTTTAGGGGTGCAGATTTGATGGTTTCATAATTAATCTTGCTTCGAATATGTTGAAAGTATAAAACTTCTACATATAAATAAAAAATAATAAAAATAAAATAAAAATTCTACTAAATATTAATTTTAAAGCTGGCATGGAATGGCATGGCATGAAAAGAGGCCATGTAGGGTAAGATGGAAACGGGTTGATGTTATTAATAATTATGAAATACCTATTTGAAAATACTCACAGTTTTATAATACAATAGATTGAATTTGTTTAGGTTATATAGTTTATACTTTTAGTCTGCTGTGGAATAAGCAACTAACTTTGAATCCCTCTAAAATAATGAAGTGAGTCACACAATTCTTTACTTCTACTCCGATTAATTGACTTGTCTACAATAATAAGAGGGGACTTGTTTATAATAAAAGCCATCAAATTGTACCTCTAATACCAAATAGTTTTCACTCAACTTTTATTTTTTTATTATTTTTGAGAAAAGTCCTCCTGACACATAACCTCACTCAGTTTAATTATCGTGATAAATAACAATAATACAACAAATAAAAATCGCTTTACCTCAAAATTTAAACAGTTTCACAATAAATATGTTACGCAATCTTCAAATAATAAGAGAATAACAAACTGAACATGCGAAATCGCAAAATTTGTTTACAATCATGAAACGTCAAATTCAGTTACTGAAAATTTCACTAGATGTCACTACAGTATGACGTGAAATGATCAATTTCTAAAATAAACTAGGGATTTCTCCTGAACATCTATCAACATAGAGAGTCAGAATAAATAAATAGTAATATTTGGCAGCCAAATTTGGTGAGTATCTTTCACAAAATAAGCTTTTATTTACTTACAAAGCTATGATTCCATTCCCCCCTCAGGCAGAGGGGCGATTTCCCTTTCCATGCGAAAACCACACCGCGCAGACTCGTACAAAATGGCGACCCCTAGATACGAAGTTTATACGGTCCACATACCGCGCTTACCGATCGATACTAATGGAGGACTCGAATTTTTCGGGGACTCTCGTGCACTCCGTAAATTTTGTGAATTCAGTGTCTGGACGAGTGCAAATGTTTTAAAAAGTGTTGTTTTGAACGGGTTACATCACAGCAAGTTTGCAAGACGTCTAATTGGATTGCAAAATGTGCTTCAAATCACGCAGGTGCGTACGCAGCCGTAGTCTCTCCATTCTGTCTGAGCCTGCTCGAACGCGCGGCTCCCCTTCATGATGGCCATTCATTTTGGCTTATCCTTTACGCCGCCGCAAAGAGCTTGCGTCATGTCATGCGTCTTCGAAACTGACCCGTCGCGGGGCATCATGCACCGTATAAACAAAACATCAAACAAAATGCGTCATTGGTGTATGCGACTGCATTTATTCGCGCGTAAAAAGCACAAAATTGTAAGTTGCAGTTAAGTAATATGCACATGAAAGTAAAGATGGACTCCTGAAATCATAAATTGATGCATTTGTTGACATTGCGCCTTGCAATTGGGACTCGCAATATAAATTTTGTCTAGTTGGACAGTCGTATTATGTGGGAAGCTCAAGTATTGATTTTTCTTAGCTAGGTGTCTACACAATGGAATAATAGATTTGTACTATGCTGATCTATCTATGTACTCTGAGAAAGGATCGCAGACGTCGGTTCCTAGAAATTCCGAGTTTGGCATATAGTTTTTCATTGAAGTTTTAAATTGTAAGCAGTTCCAATAAGAATAAACAACAAGAATTTCTTTTCAAAGAGATTTCATAGAAGTGTCCAAAATCAATAGTTCAGTATCCATGCATGGACTCATATCTGGTAAACACTTGGCAAAATTATCACTAACACAAGGTAGACTAAGTAGCCATAGTTGTGAAATATAGGACAGTTTTGCTTGTTCATCACAGAAATGGCCAAGATAGATTGAAGAGATTTGTTATACAAAAAGGGAGCCATTGAACTCTTATTGATTTTTGGCCAAGCTTTGGTTAGTTAGGTATAATTTGTTATTGCATCTTATTAAAACAAGGTACTATTTTTTTTAAGTTCATTATATGCATATGTACATACATCTCAGAAATTGCATTCTGAACATTAATAAGGTTGCATTAGATGTAAGTCACAGACCAATTATGTGTATATAAGTTTATTACTTATATTTAATACAATTTTATTTTGATAACTTATTTAATTTAGGTGGTTTAAATAAATAATAAACCACTACAGATGTACATTATTTACCTGTAACAAATGTTGAGTTATGTACACATTTTTTAATTTGGTCATTTATAAATCCTGTATATAAACCTTTCTTGGCATATTTATGTAAGTCTTTATTTAGACATAGGTAGCTGTAACAGGGTAGTATTTTACTTCTAAAATAAAACAAGCAAGTATTGATCTTGTTAGACAGTAACAAGGCCAAGGTCTGCAAGTGTCTACTTATTCAACAGAGACTGTTAAAACATGTACATAAATCTAATAAACATACATACATAGTATACCATCACTGCTTTTTCTAATATAGGGTAGGCAGATGTGGACAATAAAAATACCTATATAATAATATGACTCCTATTTAACAATCTGGCATTTCTGAAAGATATTTAGGTTTCCATGTAGACTAGACTAACATAATCAACCATTATACATAATTATACACAACTGACATAATGGTGAAGGAAAACAATGTGAGAAAACCTGGACTTATAATTTCTAATTATAAGTTAGTTTGGAATCCCCAATCCGCCTTGAGTAAGCATGGTGATTAATGCTCAAACCTTCACTGTGTGAGAAGAGGCCTTTGCTTAGCAGTGGACACTTATAGGCTGATGATGATTATAATGAAACTTCTCCAAGGCATTAGAGTTTCACAATGTGTGCTGGTTTATTTACAATTTAATATTATCCTTATTTTGTATAATATTACAATATTGCACAAAATCTGTACCTACTGGCTTACACATCTGATTAGTGGAATCATTTGGTTCCAAATGTTTTATGGTTTACCCAGATAGGTTTCAGATCATTGGATTTTATTTAATATATTAATATAATCTTCCTTTTTAAATTTAGGTCAAGGTATGTGTTAGGCTTCATTTAATTAATGGTTGATATCAATAATGAAATTATTTAACTTAAGCTTGACTTTTACTTTTGTCCTAGATCATAAAACTCATTGGTTGAAGAGAAGAGATCAAGCGTGGCCGTAGAAGGCGGCGACTTGAGGCGCACTGCCCAATGGTCCTGGAGTTTAGCCCGCAGGACGAACAGGACACAGACTACACAATGAATTCCGCAGTCAGCACAGAATCCATGGATATGGAGGGGGAGGTAAGATTACATTATTGTTTAAACAGAATCATAAGTCTAATTATTTATTAGAATATAAAAGCAAATAATAAAGGATTTTTTTTTTTGTTGTCAAACCTTCATATTATAGTAACATGCTATATACTAATGCTTACTGATTTCTCTCAGTCTTCTGTAAATCTCCAAATTTATAAATGCTTTCTATTATGTTGCATAGACTTCATCCATATTTTTACCAAAACATGGACAATTGTAAACTGTTTTTAACCTTGTTTGAAACTGAGTAATATCATAATATAAACCTTCAGAAAGTTTGTTAACTTCAAGGAAAAGTTCAATCCAACTATGAAAGTATGTTTTAACTTCTTTACCTTGCTGTTGTATAATATTTGAACTTCATAGTAGTAGAAACACGTGTAAGGAAACTGCGCTTATTTTAAATTCACAAAACATACATATGCGACACAATTTGTCGTTCCTTACTAAGATTTAAAAAAATTAAAACCTCGTACATTAAGTAAGCCAATATGAAAAGACCACTGCTACAAAGCTGCCTCCATATTCAAGTCATAGGCAACAAAGCGAGACTGCCAAAAACAAGGGTTTCTAGTTACAGCGCGTAGCGTTCCACGCGAGCCAATAAACCATCACAGATGGTGCCCTATAGATGCTTAGCCGGGGTTGTGGGGTAAGCGAAATGAGGCACCGAGGTCTCGGCCTAGAGCATGAGAAGGAACGGGGGTGTTTCTAGTCAGTAAGAGTCACTTGACTGACACTTCCTCTCAACTCATCCTGGGCGCGAGAAATCATTTGATGATTTTCCGCTGACAAAAAAAAAGGGGTTTATAGTTCAATTCTTGGACTGAGCTAAGTAACAATGAGATTGTTACTTCCAATTAGGATCGTCAATTGTACTACGAATAAAGATGTGTATGTATCACAGGACATGTCACAAGTTGACGGTTGCGGGTTGAGTGGGGCTTCGGACGACGACGATGAGTGCGCGTCCTCTCCCACCGGCTCCACGTACGATGATAGCGCTGATCTCATTAAGAACGCCATGAGCGATGAAGTTACCAAGCAACTTGCTGCAGCTGGTGAGTTATAGTTGAACCTACTTTTCTTATTTCCCATTAGGGTGTATAGATAATGTAGTTTTATTTATTGGTTTAGAAAAATTTTACTTAATAGTATACTTTAAATATAAATTCACTAACAGTGAGGTGGGTATAAAAAAACATCTAATTAAATAAGATAATTACAAGATTTAGAGTCTCAAAAATATCTATTTCTGCAAAACCTAGAGCAGGTAAGTCTTAGATCTAGCTAAGTGAGCTTCTCCTTTTGTATGTTTTACGGAAATTAGTAGCAGAACAAGAAACCGCCCTCAGCAAATTGCGGAAACACAAATACCTACCATCGCAATATCCTACCATGCTTTATTTTGCTACTTTCTTGACGTTGAATGCTTAACGATAGCTGGCATTAAGTTTGCGTCGTAATTGGGGTGTTTCCTCAGTTAAAAAGAAATTATTTCGATTTTACAAGTCAGGTATGGTGAAACGGGGTGAATAAACTCAGTAGAGGTTTTCGGCACAGAAACATGTTTAATATAATCAAATAATAACAGTTTTATTACTTATTACGATGACACCACATACTTATAAAATAGAAAGTAAAAATCGTGATATTTCGAAAAAATATTTAACTTTAACTGAGTGGAAACATCCTAGTTTTCTATAGCTGCATATTGCTTGTAACCCACATTCCAAGATTTACAAATGGCTTCAACAACAGGTCCGGTGGGCATGGCTGCCGCAGCCGCTATAGCGTCGTCAAAGAAACGCAAGCGGCCGCACTCTTTCGAGACTAACCCGTCCGTCAGGAAGCGACATCAGAATAGACTACTCAGGAAACTCAGAGTAAGTCACTAAGAAACAACATACTAATTATTATAAACATTTTATTACATACTGTACTTACGTAATTGTATTATCCTCTGGTGTAAATCTGTCTTCAAACTAAATATGTAGATACATATACATAGTTATCATATCGGGTACACCCGATTAGTTTCGAGCAATTCGAGGGTCCTTAATGAACTACGTATATTCACAATTATTCAGTTATACACAGTTTACGATTTTACACAGCAAACAATAGAAGAGTTCGCGACTCGCGTGGGCCAGCAAGCAGTGGTACTAGTGGCGACCCCTGGCAAGCCAAACACCTCATACCGTGTCTTTGGGGCAAAACCTCTCGAGGACGTTGTACGCAACCTGCGCTGCATGATCATGGAGGAACTGGAGAACGCACTTGCACAACAGGTAAGTCGGTTTCTACAGACTCCTTCGTATTTATACATGTTCATTAGCTTTTGTGACGTCATACTAGGATCCTTATTTAAAAAAAAACAAAATACACATAATGTTTCTGCTATTCTAAAGTTGACTTGAAAGATGTCAACAATTTCTCCAATTCACTTATATTTGATATGAATAAATTTCTGCAATTAAATTTTTGTTTCTTATTTTGTACAAGTCTCCGTATTTTTAAAGGGAAGACAATGAGAAACCTTCAAATTTAATCCACAATATATGAGTTTTTAAAATTTGTTTTACTTTGGATATTGTAAAATATTTTGTTTCCATATTCATAGTTGCAGCTTTAATAAATTCTATTTAAAGCTTCTTTCAGTCTTCTTGTTATTTTAAGAAAGATAATTAACTAAAACTGAGATATCTTATTTTAACGATTCTAATGTCTGCTGCAGAGAACTTAGTGTGAATTAATCTAACGTTAACTCCATAGAAACGTTACAAGCTTAGCCCTGTGATTGGTTGGTTAGTTTGGAGTAAGCCAATCAGAGCACTGAACGTCATAAACGTGTCGAGTGTAACTAAGCTAACGTGACGCAAATTCGCACTAGGCTTTCTACCATAAAACTCTGTCTTAATCACATGATCTTTTTTGGTTTCAGTGAGTTTGTTATAGCTTACAATTTAATCTATACACTAGAAAAACAATATAATTTGTCAAATTTATAGATAATAGCTTAGATATACTATGTTTTCATATGTCTTTGAAATCTTTCGTTGAAATTCACTGAAGCCATTTTTTTTCTAACTAATTTTATATTCTGTTTGTTCGTCCCTCATTTAGACTATTGCTCAGATAATTAAGATCAGACAATTTGATCCTAACAAAAATCTCTGCAATAGACTAAATGAACCTTTTCCAAAATACGCGCTGATTTCGAATCAAATGAAACATTAAAAAATTAAGGTACTCGAATCCTTTAAATGTTCTATATATGGATGACATATCTCCTAAGCCGTCGTTGTGGGTCAAGCGTAGTAATGTAGCGCAGGCCCTTAGGCGAGAGTAGTCGTAGTCATTCGATGATTTCCCCACTAGACATCACATCATTTTACAACATATTATTTTATATAGTTTGTATAAATGTACAACCATTTTATATGAAATTTTACCTAATGTGTAACCCATAATGAGTGCCCAGGAAATAATTCTCTATTAATGAATCGCGTCCTTGGAAATGAGCGTGTATTTAGTAGTTAGGCGTGTATTTGTACGTATGAGTATGAGCTATATAACGAGCGTCAGTTCGGGCTGGGCGGGGGCCCGCAGGCGCCGGCGCCGCCGCAGGAGGACCCCTCGCTGTTCGAGCTGCCGCCGCTCATCATCGACGGCATCCCCACGCCCGTTGAGAAGATGACGCAGGCGCAGCTCCGCGCCTTCATACCGCTCATGCTCAAGTACTCCATGGGTGAGTTCACTCTTATAACAACGTACTATATCAATGCTAAACACAAAAAAGTAAAAAAGACACTGTCTTTTTTACATGCACAAAATATAATCAAAATTAGAATTTTGGGAAGCTAACACCAAATAATTTTATTACCGAATAAAATAAATATCCTGTTTTAAGCTTAATATGTTTCCTTCCTTAACTACTTTTATTGTCATGCAATAAAGTTTTTGAGTTGAATCAGCCAAAAGTTCACAATTTTACCATGTGATAAAAGAGAAGATATAGATCACATAAGATGAAGACAATTTAACAGTCTTTAGCCAACTCCTATTAGTTAAAATCTTTATTCAAAAAGTATTCAAATCTTGTGTTATCTTCAGTGCGAGGGAAGCCGGGCTGGGGTCGTGAGTCTACGCGACCTCCGTGGTGGCCCAAGGATCTCCCCTGGGCCAACGTCAGAATGGACGCTCGTACTGAGGACGAGAAACAAAAGGTAATAGTAACTCAACTTATAAATCCTTTAAATAAATCCCGAATACATAACACTTAAGAAAGCTAGGATTTAGAAATTGTATAAGTACATAGTAATGTACAAAACTTATCTAGGACATTATTTTACTTGTCGTGCAAAATGCATTTGTGTTTATTTTTATCAGCCATTGGTGATGCAGTTGTATTTTGAGGAACAACAATTTTTAATTTGAAAGCGAAAATATAACTTTTTCTCGGCCATCGCATTTGCGATTATCCATTCAATGAATTGTAGGCAACCTTTGTATTATTTTACCCATGTAAATATCACAATGTGATTCTCATAGATGTCGTTTCTATTGAGTAACCGAATGCCTATGGTAGGATGTTCAGCAGTAGACATCTTGTGTAGCTCATATTATTATATCGATGATGATGAATCTACAATTTCCTATTGCTTCTTACAGATGTCGTGGACTCACGCACTCCGTCAAATCGTGATCAACTGTTACAAGTACCATGGGCGGGAGGACTTGTTGCCTGCCTTCACAGAGGATGACGAAAAGGGACCTCCTACACAACCCGTAAGTTACTTCTGCAAACCTATTTTTAATAATTTTATTAATAAGATATGTGTCTTTAAGTCCTCCATTTTACATTACGATGAAAATTGGACTACCGAAAATGGTATCGTGTTCAATCCCCGCATAGAAGGAAATGACACTTGAAATTGTCGATAGCGAAATTTTTTTCAGTCTGAAACAGCAATCAATCGTCTATGACAATAAGCCACTCCTACTATACTAGACTTAACGAATGCTGGAATCCGTTAATTCATAGTAATTTAGAGAGGCATTACTTTTTATAAAACACACTAGAGTACAATATAAAGAATAATCATAACAGTCATAAATAACAATAGTTGACATTATCGTTTGCGTCATTAGATTGTACTATAGTCAGACTTTTAATTCGATTCCTGATTTGACATTGACCACTGTCATTTTGTGAAATAATGATACCACATATAACAGTGTAGTGATGAACACAAAAATCGATAAACAATCAGTGAATCCGTTTCAGGAAGGCATTCAAAAAATTACGGCTACCGAATGGTCTAAATGTGTAGCCCATGTTTTCAAAGAAGAGGAAAAAATGAGTAAGCTAGATATGTTAATTGACAATAAATATCAAAGACACAATTCATAATAAATGTTACATAGAGTAACGGCGATAGCGATAGCGATGACGGCGACAATTTATAAAATGTCTGTTTTATTTGTCACGTTCCTTTATGATCACATTTTTTATTAATTTCACACACAATTACAAAAGAAAAGTCTCAGATCGTTAATTGATTGTCAAAACTAAATTATCGGTTCAGAAATATTTTATTTCCTGATAAACTTTGTTTACGAGATTAAATTTATTAACGAGAGGAATCGATTCAGAAATATTCGATTTCCATATCGAATAATTTCGCAACGTCACTATTTGTTACGTGTCATAACGTTGCAACACTGAAATTGTCAAATCTGGAATGGAATTAAAATTCCGAGTATAGATCAAATAACATCCTATATTCGGTGTGGCGTACTTTTTCGTCAAGGCTATGTATTGGCTTAGCACTCATTCGCTGATCTACTTAGCTACTAAGTCGTAAAGCATCACGTAACATGGACAAGCAACTATTATAACATATTTGAACTATGAGCTGATAAATAATTAGTCGAAATATGTCTCGGTTAAGTTACTAGTTAATTCAAAGTCATAGTATCATAAACATATTCCATTTAAACCATAGAGTTACTTTTAAAATGATAAAATAGAATAATACTCCGTCAGTCTGTTCGTTAGTGAAACTCGGTGTTCGTTCTAAAATGTAGATTCGAATTGAAAGAAAGAGCAAGAACTACTCTTTAAAAATGTTTAAAAACCCACCAATACATATTGTACAATTATGTAAGGAAAATGCAGGGAATAGTAAAAAATACTTTAAGTACCTACTTCTTTATAACACATTCTAAAACAGGTGCTAAATATAACAAACTCTATTAACTTTGTTCGTCCACCGATTGAGATTAGTATTTAATACCTACACAAAACTAGATCGGTTCACGAATATCCTACACCTACCTATGTTTGTCCCTAAATAAATGTTGTACGTCATCGCGACATTTGGGTCGAGTAGCAATAAGTTACGCCCACACTATAGGACCAGGTTGATGTTACGTCATTTGATATTAATTTATTCTAATTCAGGCTAAGATAGATACAGAAGCCAAAAATAGATAATAAGTTAAGTTTTCTTTGTATACTACTGTTTCGGTATTAAAAAAAAACCTAATTATTGGAGGACTAAAGACTTGCTATGTCATAGTTTGTACTTGATTAACCTTACAGAAATTTCTAAATTAAATTTACTGTCTATTAACGCTAACTTTCATGGAATGCTGCCTGGATTTGGTAACCTCTTTCTTAATTTTTATACACAACTAACCATCACACGAAACATTTGGGATATTGTACCTTCTTGGATCATGGCTCGATGGTACAGATATCTGCGTGTATGCCTAACGCGGCCAGTAACTCGTCCTCAAGCTCTACATCTGCTGGGCGCAATAACCAGCAACAACAGGCAGTGCTTACCTCACAACAAGTCTGCATTGACCAGATGACCCTCGCCGATGTTGATGTACGGACCGGTCTAAAGTTGTTATAACATTTTTAGCTGGTTTTAATTGGCTAAAAATGACGACGCTACTCACTTAGTATTTTATTGAATTATGTTTTCATTAGTGCATGGTCAAATATCTATACTGACATAAATGTTTTGAAATTGTATCTTGTTTGTTTTATCGTCAAAACTTGCATGCAGATGCATTGCATCAATGAGTGTCACAATTGTTTTCTGCTCTTACAATGTTGATATAAATCTTACTTTTATAACTTTTTTAACTAATGAAATTATTAATTTGAAAATCCTAGATGTCACAATATGCGCCTGCTGTCCTACAAACAATCACAAATCCTGACGGAACTGTGTCTCTCATCCAAGTTGACCCCAGCAATTCTATCATCACGTTACCTGACGGGACTACTGCGCAAGTTGTAAGTTTTACTCTAATATTATACTACCTATGTACATACAGAACTCTGTATTTTAATATGTATAGAGCAATATTAGTAGTCTACAATCATTAATAAGTGTAATAGGAAAGTAACCATTAACAGCTCTAAGAGAAAAGTCTAATAGTAAATCTAATAGTAAATAGTAAGTCGAAAAGTATTTCGCGCGATAATAATCCGATCATCTAACTAATAACATGTTAATTCTAATTCGTGCTCCTGGACCATCAAACGGTGGGGCGTGTTAAATGGCTGCCAACCAATCTAATCCCTCAAGTTTATCTTTGTTTATAGATTCACAGCGGCGAAGGCGGTGCAGGCATACAGGCTTTAGACGGCGACGGCGCGGTAGCCGTGGACCTCAACGCAGTCGCCGAAGCTACGCTCAATCACGACGGACAAATCATACTCACTGGGGAGGACGGACATGGTACGTGTCACCCTACACAACTGTTCTTGATTATTTATTTGCTTCAGTCGATTACTAAACAAAACTGTTTATCATATTAATGTTTCATGAGATAGATTAAAAAATTACGAAATGCATTCTAATAATTAGCGTCGAAATATAAAATGACTAGATTGAATAGACAAAGCTTTGAAGCTATGGCTAGTAATTTTTTTCGGCTTGCATTGCAATATTTAGATAAACTGACATTATAATGTTGTCTTTGTCATATTGGACGAAGCTTGAAGAATATGTTAAGTAAATTTTACTGACACGAAGCAAGTATATGCTTGCTTTTATTATTTGAAGATATTAGTCGTCGTAACGTTGCAGGGTACCCCATATCAGTGTCGGGCGTGATCACGGTGCCGGTGTCGGCGTCGGTGTACCAGTCGATGGTGGCGTCCATGCAGCAACAAGATGGCGGCGTCTGCGTCGCGCCCCTCGTGCAGGTGCGGCCCAAGTCCGAGCCACAAGATATCGACGACTCGCTGCATGTCGTATAGCGTACCGCCCCGCCTTCACTACTCATTGTATTCATTCACTTGATTATTTTCTTTGGTGAAATATTCCACGGTTTTGATTCCTAGATCAATTTATTGTAAAATCGGAATAGTGCGCAATTTGTAATGGTTAATCCTCCTTTATTACACAAAATGTTACATAACGTTAATATGTATCTTTGCCTACCTCGTTGACGAAAAGGCAAGCTGGTTTCTACATGCGCCAAAGTCAAGTCAGTGAATACTTGAGTAAAATACTTTTTGTTTGCCAAACCGCCTAGATTTGTTTGCTACTTTAATTAATCTCAAGCTATGACATTATTTACTTCACTTTCCCTCAATTCAGAAAATAGTTTGAGTTTAAAGTTTTTGTTTGCATTTTTTAGCTTTAGCTGCCAATAGATGAAACCTACGAGGTTAGTCTCGATTCTAACATGCACATGTAAAACTTTATTGATGGTATATCACATGTGCTTGTCTAAAAACTATGTTTGCTGGTGCTAGACTGTGGATTTTTTGTCCAAACTGAAATACCAGTACTAATACGAGCTTAAAATGTTCAACACGCCATTATTGGTGTTGTTAACTTCTAAAGTACTGATTTTGAAGTATGTAAGAACATAAATTATTAATTTAATTAGAGATTAACGTCATAATATTCGTCCAATAGTGCAATATAAAAGAGTACTGCCAAATAAATATATTTACCCAAAGAAATAATACTATAAGTATAAAATATAACAAATTATTTACAATTTTAATATTTTGCGTATAGAAACTTAGTTTGAGAATGCGTGCCATTAGAGTGTTGTTAAAATAAATTAAATGTCCTAGAGACTTGTGATATTCTTGTATATAGAGGATAAACAATGCGTTTGTCGATCTCGAAGTGCTTAAAAAAGCATTTAATGTTTATAGTTTAGTCATTATTTTCTTATAAGAGGCTCTCCTTGCAACGTCAAATAAATTCTAAAGGCTTACTCGCCTTTTTGTAGGATGTCGTGAATAATTCAACTTTAATGTGGAAGTGACTGAAGCATTGTCTAAGTTATACAATTTAGTGAAATTAAGAAACAAATATCCTAATGCAGATAAGTGTCGCTTTTTATAGCACACTCTGTCTTTAAGTTTTTCTCAACAGAATAAAATGCAAAATTAAGTAGATTATACATGTTCCTTTACACCGAAACGAAAGAATATTAATTCACAATACCTTAGGACAAAGAGTTATAGATTTTAATTAAATATACATTTTGACAATTTGCTAATAGATAGATAATAATTTTAATTTATAATTATGAAGGATGTATAATTAAATTTGCTTGTCCGTGTCGATACTTATGTGTCTAGTATTATAGTGAAAATGTTGCTTTATTTGTAGTTTATTATGAAAAGTGATTTTTATTTTAAAAAGTGACTAAATGTGTGGTGTTACACAAGTATTATCATTTAGAGAGCTAGCTGCCAAAAATGCATGATTGTTTGTATATTTGATTTTATTTGGGATGAGTACTGTGACTATTTTTCAATAGTAACTGTCATGAGACATACTATATTTATTTAGTACGTCGCCGTCGCGTGCGCACCCGACTGATTACTACGTCTATAAGTAAGAGTCCCGTTATGACTTGAAACTAGTAGAGCTTATTTTCAATCAAATTCGTATTTGCAGTTTCTGAAGTCTATATTTTATGTAGACTTTATTTAACATTTAGATAATTCTATCAATTTTATAAATATGATTTTATGTCAACTCTAGTAACTTGATATATTATGACGCAGTACTCCTCTCAAATGAAATCGGATATAGAGTATTATTTATTTATTTACCTTGTAAACAAGTCGGTAAATGCCACTGCTTTATAAAAGTTCTCATAAACTCCCGATTTTACGGTTTATTATTTATAACTGACTACTAATAATAATGTTTCATTTATCTTTCAAATCCTATTCAAAATTAGGTAGTCAAGGCATGAACCGACTATAAAAATGGCCTAGTATTAATTTATTTATCCTGCACATTGTGCTTGTTTTATTCCACATTATGTTTTGTTGTCTTCAACCTAGTTGTTGTGCTGATCTTGTCAAAATATTTTATTTTTTATTATCGTGTGTGAGATTTGTAGTGTTTGAGTAAAAGTGTGCTATGCTAGTAAAATGTAATTTATAACAGAAATTCACGATTCAATATTGTTATAAAATATATTTATTTTATTATATAATTTGCCATAGTAAAATTATTGTTTTATGTGCCAAAGACTACGCGATTATTACAATACATAGTTCCTTATGTAAAAAATAAGTATTCCTCAAGCCTTGTTTTTAAGTTAAATTTTAACTTTAAAGTTCATAATACATTTCAGGGTAATTTATTGAAGTTTGTATTATATTGGTGTTACAAATAGTACAATATTGACTTTGCTTTGTTCATGTACATTTTGTTTAAAAAGTTTTATTTCAGTTGAAGCTTGTTATGTTTTGTGTAGTATTGTTATTGTAGTCTAGTGCAACACCGACACATGCGTTATTTATTAGCACAAACATACATTTTTTCAGTTTTCCTTATCTAATATCAAGAAAACACACAGAAACTAGTTTCTTTGATAATAATTCTCAGAGCACACCTTTTCATCTCTTTTTTAGTACTTTATCCATTCATAGCAAGAAAGATCATTTCAATAATACTTTTACCATATTATGTATATACTGCAGTATTTTCATTATTATCGTGTGTCAGTGTTGCATTAGAGTGAGTGATTTTATCCTTAGTTGAAGTGTGCGAGTGCCGCCGCAATAAACACGTGAATGTATCGTCTTGTTTTATTTGCACGAATCTACGCTTGCTCACTGTTTGTAGCATGACAGGTGTGTATTGTATTTTTTTTTTTATTTTGACTTTTTACGCTTTGTTAAGCTCAAGACGTATGTGCTAGGCGAAATTGAACCTTATTGTTTTTTATTAATGGTTACATTGGTTATTGACGTGCGCTTAGCTGTCTTCATGTTGGAAGCCTGACATCAGCCCTTCATAGTGGTGTGGTGTTGGGCTATCAATGTGTTTCTATGATTATTTTGCTATATTGGCAGTGAGATCAAGAACCAATCTACCAGTTTATTTGAATTTGAATGCTTATATAATACAGATTCAATTCCAAACAGAATAAATCAACATTTTGTATTGAGAAACATTATATCTGTTATTATCTGTCTTCTTTAAACAGATTGGTTATTGAGACTGACAATATGTGATTGATACGGCCTTTGTAAAGTTAATTATAAGAACTAATGTATGAATAACGTCAGATGGAGCAGAACGGTGAGGGTTTGGAGACGATCTCTATGGGCGGCGGCGTGACGCAGGTGATGCTGCAGGGCGGAGAGGGTGCGCAGGTCCTACAGGTTCTCAGTCTCAAGGACGCTACTGTACTCACTAAAGCCATGGTGAGTTGTCTCTCTTTCTGTGTACTTTAAAGTTTTTAAAGCAATATTTCCCCATTACTTAGCTGTCACATTTTGCCAGATTAGCCATAAACTCGCAAGAATTGATCCATCATCATCATCATCATCATCATAATGTATGAAATTATGAATAAGGGATATGTGGTTTAAATTTTGAAATTGTAATATCGACACACATGCTATATCATGTTGATTTATTTATCAGTTACACCGGTCTGCCGTGTAGTACTTGGAATACTAAAGCACATTGCCCTACAATTATATCGCTCACGCTATCGTTATACTGATAATTGATAAGCAATAACTGTAGGAATTGAGGATTGAATGACTTTAATATATTATGCCTAAATGCTTATAACTATATTTGTTACAGCAAGTGAAAGCTGAACGTGACGCCGTAGTAACAGATTCCTAGCTGCTAACTCTGGTGGCGAGCTCGCCGCCGCCTGACGGAGCCTCCGACTGCCCCGAATTGATGAACGACGTGACATAACCCCCGCGACATGTACCCACTCTACACTTCCATGAACACACCTATACAGACAACGGACACTTTTTACAAAGCGGCTCGGAAGGCGAGGCCTAGCTACTCTAATTGTTAGTCTAAACATAGAGGCATCATCTAGGGTTACAGTCAAAGTAAATAAAAATAGTTAATTAACTATAGTGGCCATCGGCATCGGCATTCGGCGCTATCGCCGCGCATTACACACGAGACATTGTGCCACTCAACTGGAATATTATACGTAATGTGCGCGGCCGGCCCGGCCGAGACATAAGTTAAGGCATAGCAATCAAGTCCAGTGATGTCGGAGTGATTTTGAATTTTAGAAATAAATTTACCATTATATTAGACTAAAATTTTGCCATGAAATGGGATTTAATTTATTTAAATTATTTCATCGTAACTTATTATTTATTGAAGTGAAGTAAGACTAATTTATTTTAGATGCAAATCTACGTAAGGTGGGGAACAGATTTGTGCAATACATGATTTATACCAGCCGCGTTTATTTTGTATAGAAGGCCCCCGTTGCGATAGTAAAGCAGGCGCACTAGTGCCAGGAGGTTCGAATAAATGAACATACGTAAGGTAATAATCGTATACATTCCTGTAATATTACGAGCGAGTTTGTTGTGTACATTTGTTGTTTATGTTTAGTTTGTCTTTTGTTTGTTATACACCAATCTATTTATTTAATCTAGTCTAAACCAAGTCAACGCAACCTATTCTAGTCCGAGTGAATATATTTAAGAACTTTACCAAAACTTTTCTATAACATAAGTTTTGTAAATTAATGTAATTTATCTTGTCCTCTATATTGTAAATTCGTTTAAAGAAACAATATTATAATTCCTGCGCAGGGTTACTACATAGATGAAGACGTTAGTGTTTATCGGTGTTTAAATCTTAGAAATGTAAAGACTTCCAAGTTTGTGAAGTCAGTACGAAAATAAATGTAGATTAATAGATATATTGTCCAATGTTGTACATCAGTTTCCTTTTCAATCAGCATGCTCATAGGATCAATGTAATTCACATTAAATTTTAAAGGTTTATAGTCGTGACTATAACGTAAGGTAGAGTTCATAGAAAAGTACAAAAGTGCAAAACTATTTATGATGTGCGGAATAATATAGTTGTTTTCTAAAAGACACGAACGAATATTGCTTACCTATTTACTTATTCAGATTTGTTTTATTTATTTTCCATATTTTATTTTTGTTTTATGTACCAAAGAACGTTTAAGTTTTGTCCTCTAAGATAGCACAATTTTGTTGTTAAGTACAATTTGTGATTGTAAATAATGGTATGACTGTGTGAATATGGCAATCATTAAAGTATTTACGTACATTTCCTTGTTTTCATGCTTCAAACTTCCTGTTGTTTATTCAACAAAACTAAGTTTACATGCAGGTATGTCGCTTTTCCCTGAAGTTGTAGGCCGAGGGTGTGAATGTTCACCTTCCGCCTGACTCAGGTGGTTACCGGGCACGGCAGCTTCGGTAGGTTCCTGTTTCGGATCCAGCGGAAGGAAACGCCCGAGTGTCGTCATTGTGAGGACCACCTAGAGGATAAGGTGGCGATATGCCCTGCCTGGGCTGAGCACCGCCGTGTCCTCAGGGGAGTGATCAGCGGCGGCGACCTCTTGCGCCCGACCTTAATCGAGGCCATGGTTCATAGCGAGAGAAACTGGGAAGCTATCTCCTCCTTCTGCGAAACAGTTATGCTCGCAAAAGAGGAGGCGGAACGCGCGAGCGAACTATCCTCCTCGCGCCCCAGCCGCCGCAGAAAGCGACTTTCCGGGCGTCGGGGATCGAGAGATGATCTCCGGCCACCGTAAGCACGGGTCTGCGGACGGCGAGTAAGGGTAGCTCGCCGCCCGACCAGAACCAGACCCGAGCGTACGGCGCGTAGTGTTCCGCGCGCGCCTCAAAGAGCCAATAGACCACCACAGACGGGGCCAGCCATAGGGCTGATGTTCAGCCGTGGTTGCGGGGTAAGCGCAATGAGGCACCGCGACCTCGGCCCAGCCTCAGCCCATAGGCCGCGCTTACCCCGAAACCCCGCCTGAATATCAACGGAACGCAACGCATCGTACGCTCGGGGGGTCTGATTCTGGTCGGGCCATAGGTCGAGCGACGAGATACCCTTACGCGCGTCCCCAGACCCCCTCTCGGTTATAAAGTGTATTGGGATAGGTATGTTTATTTTATCAACAAAAAGCAATAGGTAGGTACTTATTATTTTTTGAAGTCGATTTTAGTAAAGGGATTTTGATTACTTACCACAAAATTAATAAGGGGGAAAACGGGAGACGCAGAAGAGGGGCGAATAATAACTATTCATCTCCTTTTACGGTATTGTTTTTCAATTAGAATTTCGAGAAAGATATTTTCAGTTTTTTCGTAGCACAGAAATGTTATTTACCTACGCGAGGCCCAAATCAATAAAATGAGGTGATACATTCTTGTATTCATAATCAATACGTTTAGCTTAGTGTGTTGGCGACTGTTTTGAAATGTGCATCAATCGATACTGCGATGTTTTGAAAACTGCTCACCTTTGTACATTGCAATTGCATAAAAGATACAAAATCTACGTGGCGTTATTTGTTAATTAAAGAGGTAGCCATTTGTTTGTTTGTACTATATCATTTACTGGAAAAATAATGAGTAATATTGCTATAATTTTTTATTGATAAATGCAACATGTATGGCAAGGAATTGTATAAAAGGGATGGTAGATAACATACAAAATGAAACAACTCTCATAATATGTTATATCATATTTGTTCTAATGTTTAAACATTAGACGAGCAGGTCGATTTTTGAATGATGGACCGAGAATACTACTAATTGAAGACGCAGCTTCCCACAATTAAAAATAAAAAGTCGACAACAAAACTATTATACAAATTCTCTACAGCTTATTTTGATATTTATCGGCGACCTTACATGTCGTAAACATTCTCTAAAGCTAGTTCTGGTTTGTCGTAGCCGAGCTCCTCTGGGGTTTCAATGCCAAGCTCTGTTAACGTGGGCTTAATTTCCTGGATGATGTAAGGGTAGATTTCATTGACTTTGTTACCACACTTGTCTTTGCAGGCCTCAATGAACCTAACAGCAAGAGCATAGTCATTCACTCTCCTGCATGCGTGCAATGCTGCCTTGATGATCTTTGGGTCGGGGACAAGGTCCATACCGCACAAGTCGTTCATGCCTTTGCGGATTTCCCAACCGTCAATGTCTTTCCTGTTGAAGAATTGTTCATATCTGGAAACATAAAAAACACATTGTTAGCTAACATACTTCTTTAAGAAGAATATTTAGATTCAAGTTTTCTTATGTACTTTCTTTCAAATTTGGTAAGTTAATGAGAACACACACACATTTTACTCTAAAGTTTCTGTCAGATTTTGTAATATAAATATGTTTAAAATAACTTCAATGTTGGTTGTGATTGTCCACACACATAGTAAAATTTAAAATATGGAGAGTACTTAAAATATCATAATACTTAAGATAAGCTATCACAATCATCACTAATCTAAAACCTTATAGACTACCATACCATTTCTCTATGACGGACATTACAATTTATATTATCTGAAGTACTAATTAATAGTTTTGAAGTCTACATAGAATGAAAATCAATATTTTTATATCTTGTCAGTATTCGATTTTAGAAATGAATATTTAATTTATAGTACAACTTTGTGTCAATCACTTGTTCAAGTAACTAAAACAAACTATTGATTATGAGGTTATCAGTCTGTAAAATGCCCATTTCAAGTCACACCCAAAAAAAATTGCTCAATGACTAAAAGACAGCAAGACAAACAACACATATAATATCATGAAAATATAAATGAAATGAAAATAATAAATCACCGACAAGAATACCATAATTTTCAGTTACATAACGTCAAAATTTCCGACAAGGCTCTAACCTGCAATCGAATTCCTCATCGGATTCGACGGGACCACCATGCGACCGCCGCAAGGGTACGGCGCTGATCCTTGCCGCCGGCACCAAGGACTTTCTCAGGACATTGACCAGTGCCCCAGATGCTGATTTCAACATTTTGATCAGACGTTACACGGGAACTTCAGCAAGGATAACAAATGGCTGCTCAAGCATAGACTAAAAAATCTGGTTGCCAGTCGTTGCGTCTGACGTTTCTAGGGATGCGCACAAATTATTGATTTCTTCTCTTTCGTGGTTTCGTGGTCATAGACATCAAAATCCAAACTATAATATCGATTTTATTTTACACAAATAGTATAAAATTGATTATAAGAAAATATGTAACATATTTATTTTGAGTACCCATTTATTGTAAAATTTAGATCACGTAAACATTTCTTTTTAAAAACACAGGGTTCTATAATATTTGACGTGACTCTAAAATATTTGAACTAATTAAGTGAAAATAAAATCTCTATTTCTTTCAATTAATATTTCAACTCGAGTAACTTCAAATACCGAAACTCAAAGTACCTTTCCAAATGACAGCAAATACAATAAGTATGTACAGGGGATAAGCGACTGTAGGCTGTTTCAAGTTGCGACCACCCCTCACTATAAATTCTAACTTTTAAAATTTTCTGGTACCCTGCCAGTGCAGGCGTTTCATATTATACCAGTTTGAGCTGTAGTTTATGTTTATGGATAAATAGATAAACTTGAAAATTGTTTCATAATACTTTATTCATAAAGAATTGTTTTGTCAGTTTAACAAAAGAAATATACTGTTCACTATGAAAACAACAAGTAAAAATTTATTAGTCATTAAGTCTAGTAATACAAAACAGGCTTAGAACGGTTCGCACTAAGTCCGATCCGGATCCGATCAGATACTGTGAAAATACTGGTTTAGACGACTCGAATAGTATTCGGATATTACTTATGCACTAATTCGATCCAAACCAATAAACCTCGAACCGATTGAGGTCATCCATACTAATACTATAGAAGTAAAATGTGTAAGTTTGTATGTAGGGGTAATCTTTGGAACCGCTGTTCGTATTTTCAAACTTCTTTCACTGACAGATAGCTACAATGTTCCTGAGTGCTATAGGCTCTAAAACATCACGGTACGATTAAATGGATCTCAGCAGCGGGTGAAACCGCGCGAGAATAGGTAGTTTTAATTATGTACGTTTTTTGAATCTATTACAATATTGATTTATAATTATAATTTAATTCTTTACGTGAGCTTTCATTCAGATGCATTAACCGATGCTATGAGTACCGCGGTCCAATAACAATGAAATGGAAATATTTGAATGCCGTAAATAAATACGATGACACGAGATAGGATTTGGAAATAATGACCATAGAAATAGTTCTACAGCTACTTCGGACCATATTTTCAAGGGTTCAGATCGGATTCGGTTTGGATGTAGTTTGGAACAGCACATACACTTATGATATTATTATAGACTATTTGATATTACATTTTTATGAACGGTTGATTACCTATACAAATTATAAGGCGCTTTGGTCCTTTTACATTTTTCTTCTTCGTTTTTTCTTATGGGCAGTGATGCTTTCCTGGCCGCTGTCTTCTTCTGAACTTTCTGAAGAGCTGCTATCACTATCGCTACTGGAAGAACTACTGTTAGATGAACTGTCTGAGGCTACACCAGTGCCCTGACTCAAGTCCATGCCACTAGCAATCTTGTACAAATCTGGTTCTTTGGTCTCCAGTACTTTGATCCACTTTTTGGAGAGTTTAGGGCGACCACGCACAGTCTTATGCCAGACCACTGGGAAATTGGTTCGGCTACAAAAGTTTTGAGTGACAGCCACAGTATCGTCCAAATTGAGAACAACATGCCACCACCCACCAGGTACAAACACTGTCTCACCTGGTTTTTGAAGAATTTCCACCTGAAATTATTAAAGATATTCTTGATTATTAAAAATACATGCTTTGTTGTTGGGTAAAAGTGCAAAATCCAAATGTTGAAATAAGGAAGATAAATAAAAATACATACTGGTTTAAATTCTTTGGGCCAAGTATCTAGCTGAGTCTTAGGATAAATAAGTTTGAACCATGTGACAGCTTCATCTCTTTGTTTTCCTCCCATAGCTCCGGTCACCTTAATCAATTCTCTAGGGGTTTGGGTTGGGAATAAGCACCATCTTTTATGACCAAACACCAAAGCATTCCAGGCACTTGTTCCAAGAGGATCTATATGAATGCCAGTACCAGAACGCTGTGGCCCCATAACAAACCAGCGATATGGTGGCCTCCTTTCTTCTCCACAGTACTTAAACAAGTCATCCCTAAAATATAGAGGGACATCATAATCTTCCAAAAGTTTCTTTCTCCTCACATGCTCTCCAAAACTGCTATCAAAAATATAAAGGGGACTGTCATCAGTCGTTGTCCTCATGTACTCTACGTAATACTTCATTTTCATCTTAACACTGTAACCCTCATTGTCTTCCCCGCATTTAAATTTCTGGTTTCTATACTTTTTGGCAAGTCTATCTAAAGTCCATTTATGATTTGCCTTCCAATTTGTCTGTACATTCGTTATAACTACTGGTTTGTATATTTTTTCATATTTCTCTATAAATTCATCTGGAGTCACTTCATTTTCACTTATTCTGTCAACATTGTCATTACACTTGAGAAATTCATCAAAGTTTGTTGCATACTTTAAGGCAGTCCATTGGTACTTGTCTGCTAATTCTGAAATGGGTATAAAAAACATGATAAACATAGTTACATCTTTTTATGATAACTATTGTGAGACACATTTTTAGTTAATATAGTTACATCTATTATAGGATTAACTGATTCTTATTTTAAGAAGAATGTAGAATTTAAGGATATCTTTCTTTTGTACAGGTATGTGTAAGCAGGATGCCTGCACTGTAATAACTTAAAAACTAAAATAACTAAACTATCACAGGGTGGCTCAGACTCTAATGTTTTCACAATATTAAAGCAATATTACTTCTTAATTGTAATTAGTGTTTTTGTTGTGTCCACACAGGAAAGAGTCACCATAAAGTGCTTAAGTAATTAAATAATGCTACAGGGTAGACTAAATATACTCTAGTACTCTAAAAAATCATTAAATTTAATATTGATGAACAATATCTAAAAGCTATAGTGCTATAAAAATTTTACTGAATTAGATTTTGCTTATTTTTATGTCTTACTCAGTCTTACCATTATAAGTAAGCATTGATTTTAGTATTTAGTCATCAAGTCGTGATGCTATGTAATTTAGCATCAAGGCTATGAATGTTCGGATACTGTTAAGATAACTGAATGCCACGCTTTCGAAGATCATTCTAGAAATTGTTACTTTATCACTTACAAGGTAATATTACTTAAAGCATATTGGGTATAATATGTATTTACTCTTACAATTATAGAATCTTGTACAAAACAAATATTTAATTACAAATTGCTTGTTGAAACGAAAGTGTGTCAATTAGGCATTATGGTTCGGGTACGGTGAACTTACCGGGTCTAGCTTTCCTCTTAACTTCCTTGATACGTTTTTTGGCTTTATGAGACAGTTTAAGTTCACTGTCCATTCTATTTATATTAAAATATAATTTAGTTAAATATTTAAGTGCTATGGAACCTAAGTTTAGCTATTGAACAGCGTTGAAATTGACAAATTGATTGATTGACAATTTGACAGGCAGCTGGGCGATGTTGTCTATGTCTACTTTAATTTTTGTTAGTGATGGGCTTTGATTACTAAATTTTTAAAAGAGTATTTTTCATTAACGGCAAAGACTAAAGTAATATAGAGGGAAATTAAAGGTTTCGTTTTAAATTATCGTAAATCAGAAAATAAGTTAGAATTTTTGTAACGCGAAAATATAAGTAAGGTTTCTTAAAATTATTAATAAAGTTTTTTTTTTAAAACACGACAGTTCCATTTTATTTTTCATAGCTGGCAATGAAGGATTTTCGTTTCGTCGCATTGGCAAACTCACAAAACTGATAATTTTAGAATTTCGTGTTTCTTTTAACCGAAATAATTTGAACATTTCTGGTTTTTGCAGTTTTTATTTACTTTATATCTACATTTACAATTTTCAAATCAATCGCATTCTTTTAAAAACTGTTATTTTAAAGTGATTGATTTGACTCTTGTAGTGAAACAAATTTCAAACGTTACAGTCTGAAGTGTGTAGCTAGCTCGATATAACTGTCAATCTGGGTGTAGAAATTTATTTTGTAATTTTCACCGGTTCTCATGTGTAATTTCTCAATGTGTTAGACTATTTTTGAACAAAGGTTCTTCGAGAAATAATGTTATTTAGTGTATGTGGTGCTTAAAATTGTGCGAAAATGGATGACGGTACAATAAAGATTCAATCCGGAATTAATATCAACATAAAAAGAACAGATGGTAAGTGCTATCGTACTAAAATATCTACAATTGATGTGTATTTTCACTTATTTCGTTGGTGAAGAGTTGTTTGTCCGTGGTGCATAATGCTTCGGTCGATGACTTGAGGGTATCTTAAGATTCATTTTGAAGGCTAAGGAATTGCTTTTCCCTGAAGGCATTGGCACTGAATTGATTTGGCATATCCGTTAGCCAATTGCCTGATACAATAATACTCATGAAAGTGAAAACTAATGGCTGGAATCATAACCAAATTGTGTAGTCTACTGTACTTGTGAGATAGGGTTGCAAATCCGGCATTGGTTCTGATTCTAATAGGATTTGTAGAAATAATTATTCCAATCATCATCCTAACAGTATTTATTAGTCAAAGTATTATTATTAATACCAAATACCTGTCACATTCCTGGATGTGCTGAACATTTTGAAGAAAACTACATTTCCTTCAATTTTTGCCTCATAACTTTAAGAACATTTCATGTATGCACATTACCAAAAATATCCATGCTACTATGAATCATGTTTTACACATAATCTATGACAAAAACATGACTGTACTTCTTTCTGTATAAATTCAAACATGTTCATTCACATTTGAATTGACATTGAATATCTAACAAATTTCATAACTTAAATTCTAAATGTTAGTTATGGAAATCGCAGCATGTAAATTTTATCAAAACCATCAGTACTATGTAAACTACAACTATTGTCTCAGACTGTAAGAAAAACTGTAAACAATATATTTTTCTTATAGCAAACTGCTAAGAAACTTAATTTACTCTGAATTCAAGTGGTGTTATGGAGTCATTATATTACTAAAGTTTAATTGTTGTCGAACAAATTAATTCAACATTAAATTTAGATGTGTAAATGTATGATGTATGTCAAGATTTGCAGACAACCAGTCACTCATAGTATCGTTTCAACCTGTGGTTTTTAGGTCTAAGTGAGACACAATGAATTTCTTATCGTGTCTCATATGCTAGTGTTCTATATTGGTTTTGGTGATGTTCAAATTAACCTAACTGAAATTACAATAAAAACTAGTCATCAATTCTGTATTCTGTGGGCCAGCTATACACCTATGTTTATTTTTTGTTGCAGCTTTTAATAAAGTGCAAGTAAAGCCACAATTATTTTAGTTTACTTATAGCTATCTCAATACAAATCTGTCTAAAATAATTTTTAAACATTGATCATCATCATCATCACCGTCATCATCATTATCTTGACTTCTAAACCTTTCTTATTTAAATAGTTATTTATATTAAAAACTGCTTTCCCATACCTACATCCATAAAAAATCTTGCTGTCGAGTGATCTGTAGGGATATTTTTTATTATTTTTTTCCTGAAGTAACAACACTATTCAATCTGGGTTTTGTTTTATTTTAATCAAAATGAATACTAAGAATGTTGAAAAATTAAGGAAAATATTCAGTGTGACTAATGACACTTTATGTTGATCAGAATTCTTTATTCTTAGAATCCAGTTAAACCTTTAAAATGATTATGCAATCAATATTAACTCTTGTAATAAATACAATATTGTGTTTATAAATTACTAGCATCCACTCGCAGCCTGCATAGTATATATTTTAAAGTCAAAGTCAAAAATCATTTATTCCAATTAGACCTTTACAGGCACTTTTGAACGTCAAACAAAATTTAAAATAAAAAATAGTGTCAGTCTGTCGGTCAGTCCTCTTAGTGAAGCTATTTGCTCGTTCCAAAGTGTAGATTCCGATGGAGAAGAACGAGCAAGAAACTCCATGGTTACTCTTTTTAAATCAGTTTCACATACAGATTCCTTTTACAAACAGTTGGTTCAATTATGTGAGAACAGTGTAACACTAATATTTATTCAAATATAAAAATAAAGTAACCTTAAGGACAATAGACAGTCTGGAGCTGACCAGTCCCAACTGACGGCGCTCGTTCACGAGCATGACACGTACACCAGCATCGCCCAACTCAACCATATTATAGGGAATTAAGCGATCCAGTGCCCATGCCACCGCCAGTGTGACCTTTCAGTGAGCATGACAACTCCAAGCTGTTACAAGGACCGACATTCTGCTAGTCTAACCAATTATAATAGGAACATTTACAAATTTATCAAGTTATAGTTAAACAATATAATGCAATTTCACTAAAATGAAGAAGTCCCGTTCAAGCAAAATCCATTGGAACGTTATTTATTTTGGTGTACGTTTGCTATCCTGTGGAGCAGGACCAGCATGTCTCCAAGCATCTTTATCTACAATGTAATCATTCAGTGTGTAGTATGCTTTTCTACATAAAGTTTTCTTTACACATAATTTAAAATTTCTTTCATTTAATTGTTGTATTTCGCCTGGGATTTTGTTATAACATTTAACACAGAATCCCATGAACGACTTATGTACCTTTGCCAATCTAAATAATGGCTGACATAATCTATCTCTATGTCTAGTTTGATAATTATGTCTATCTGACACCTTATCGAATATTTTTAAGTTTTTCCTAACATACATAATGTTTTCATAAATAAACTGACATGGCACGGTCATAATATTGATCTCTCTAAACTTTTCTCTAAGAGACTCACGACGCTTTAGATTGTAAATAGCTCTGATGGCACGCTTTTGCAAGACAAAGATAGACTCAATGTCAGCAGCCTGTCCCCACAACAAGATGCCATACGACATAATGCTATGAAAGTAGCCGAAGTACACCAGTCTTGCAGTGTCCACATCTGTTAGCTGTCGGATCTTCCAGACAGCAAATGCTGCAGAGCTCAACCGTCCTGCCAGAGATGTGATATGGGGCCCCCATTGTAGTTTGTCATCTATGGTTATACCCAGAAAAGTAGTTTGTTTTACAAATTCCAATTTATTACCGTTTAATAATATGTCACATTCGTTACTTTTAACATTTGGCAAACTGAATCGTATACATTTAGTCTTTTTGTCGTTTAGGGCTAAATTATTAATTGTAAACCAATTATGAACCTTCGTTATAGCATTATTTACGTCGTCATGATTATCTGTCCGTCTATTTATTTTAAAAATCAACGATGTGTCATCAGCAAATAATACCATTCCCGGTTCACGTTGAAATAAATGAGGTAAATCATTTATGTACACTAAAAACAGGAAAGGACCTAATATCGAGCCCTGTGGTACGCCCATAGATATGCTAGTACCCTGGGAGTTCACTTTATTTACTTGTACTTTGAACTGCCTATCCTGCAGGTATGATTTTAATAAATTGAGAGATACCCCTCGAATGCCGTAGTGTTCTAACTTCAGCAACAGTGTCGCGTGTTCAACGCAATCAAAAGCTTTAGACAGGTCACAAAAAATCCCAATAGCGTCGTTTGACTTTTCCCATGAGGCAAAAACATGCTTAAGTAGAGCTACACCGGCGTCAGTTGTGCATCGACCCTTGGTAAACCCATATTGTTGGTCATGAAAGATGGAATTTATTTTAAAGTGTCGTAGCATCTGAGAAAGCATTAGCTTTTCAAACACTTTACTAAGCACTGGTAAAATTGATACCGGCCTATAATTATTGGGATCATTGTCATCGCCAGATTTAAACAACGGAACTACCTTGCTAAGTTTCATCAAATTTGGAAAAACACCCTGATCTACACTTTTATTAAAAATTACAGCTAAGTAAGGCGCTATAGCTTCTATAAAAGACCTACACACCACAACAGACATTCCCCATAGATCCTCTGTAGACTTAACTTTTATGTCTTTAAACGCCTTTATTACTGATTGCGGGTCCGTGTACTGAAATCGGAAGCCAGAACGGCATTCTTTAACATTTCTTTTAAGAAGACTAATAGAAAGTGCCGGAGATGATTCTAAGTCTTTCGTAGTTTTAATGGGGATATTCTTGAAAAAAAATTCGAATTCTTGGGCAACTTCTTGATTAGCATTAACTCGTCCATTATCCGTATTTAAATTAAATTCCGTGTTATGCAATTTATTTCTGTCTGTCTCGTTATTAATTACCTTCCACGTAGCTTTTATTTTATTTTCAGCATTTTTAATCTTATTGCCAATATAAAGTGAGTGATAGTATTTATAAAAAGTAGCCATTTTGTTAATCCAGGGTATCACCTATCTACAACATCATCAGTCCAGTCATTATTGTGTGAAAGAATAACAAACGGAAATTAGTACATTTTCACATTTATAATATTAGAGGGATAGTAGGATAGGATGGTCAAACAGATCACCAAATGTTTTTTGTTCCGTCTTGTGGTCTATGATATGGAAACTGATTATTAAGCTTGTATTGTACATAGAGTACAGAATATCCTTTTTAAGACGTCTTCCCAGACTCTTAAAGTTTGGTAAGAAAACCTTGCCATTAACTTCTTACTTATAAAACAATTTCCGCATTTTCATCTGAAATTCCTTCTGCAAAACCGATTCATAAAAACCATGGATGGTTGAAAAGTTTACCATTTATTTTAATACAATGATGGCGTTGGGGCGGCGACTGTGCGGCCTTGTTGCGTACCGCCAGCTCCATATACGGCACGACCGGCGCACGCGCCGACCGCAACGACAGCGCGGGACGATTGTGTTGCCATTAATTGTTTATTACAAACATAGTTATAAAAATACCAGCAATAATTTTTAGTTTTTTGTGCTTTATAAATTAATTTAAATAAGTACTTACTATGCATAAGTATTTTTTTCTTTTGTTCATAATACTAGACATATATTTTTCAAATTTTTCACTTTTATTGACGCAGACACGTCTATCAATTTGTCGTGGGTCATAGGTCATTTGATCTGTAACTGCTAACGTACAAAAAACCTTGTTTACTATGTAGGTTAAATAAACGTTACCATTTAACTATCTGTCGTGAATGTGGGTGTAAGCGCCAACTGCCATTTCGATCTCCTATTTCGATCTTTTAGAAACGATTCATTTGTTTTTTTCTGTTCTTGGAATTGGTTTCTTATTATTCATCCTTCATTACCGATTTGG